GCGGCTTAACAACCAACTCGATGACGGATTGGAAACGTGTTCTCTCGTTAGGGCAATATTTGCTTACGCATTTGGTATTCATACTTCGAATTGACTCGAACTTTTTATGTTTGAGTTAGAAACCCGGCTTCCGGCGTGTTCCGATCATAATGAAACCCTGCTATCGTCGCTTAATACCGACGCTTCGGGTCGATCGGACATGTCGAAGGCCACCAATACTGAGATTATATTTGTTCGTGTTGATTATACTGAATTACGCAACAACATATGAAATCTCATTGGTGTATCTTCGATGTTTTCGACATTTGCTTACAAAGCCGAGTATCGAAGAGACGAATATTAACATCCGTAAGACAAATACTAAGCCCTTTCTGAGAGTACATGTTTTTAATCTGTATGGTAGATACTAAAATCTTACAGGTAAATAATAGATAAACGTAAGTATTTTCAATTTAATCTGAAACTAACTATAACAATTGAATGTTTGTTTCATTTTACATGTAAGTAAAATGTTAGAATCATGCATAAATTTTATTTAAAAAGGTAATGAAAATAGAAACAAAATGAACCAATTATTTATTCTTCATGTTTTTTTAAAGCTAATCATATACTTCTGTGAAGTAAGTCTTCAACAAAATATCTGCTCAACATTCGAAGATCTGTTCTTTTTTTTAATGATATTGTGCTTTTCTTTTTTATTGAAATATTTAAATAAATAAATTTATTATAATCACTAAATTGTTAATTATGAATGAAATGATGATCTCTAAAAGTCTTTACTTTTTTCTCTATCATCAAATACTTTTCTATTTCATTTGATAATTTATTCTATATGAATTTTTTTTGACAATACTCAAATTACATTTCATTTTAATGCATCACAGATGAAGATAAAACAAAACATGCTCGATAAAGTTTTTCACTGCTTCAGGATCGAATTTATTGAACGATTCATTTACTTTTAATGCCTAGTCTTATTTCAAAAAAATATCTTAACTAAATAATGTAAGAAAAGATATGAAATTATATCACGAATGTTTTGCACAATTTGTAGAATCTTAATGCTTCATAATAAATAACTGTGAAGTTCGATTTTTTTTTCTCGATGTTTACGATGAATAAATCAAGTTCTTTATTCATTATAACACACTACTAATATAATTATCTTTCAATTAACATGCGATGCAAAAGTCTTTGGAAAAATGTCAAACGATCTAAGACTGTCTTTCTGACTTCTAAATCAATCAAACTTTTTTTTGTTGAAAAGAGCAAAATCTGAACTACAAATTTTGTACGAGACATATTTTTCCAGAATAAATCTGAGAAGGAGGAAAAATCAAAAACCAAACACCTCGAAGAAAAGTCCTTGCAACTTTACCATCGAGCATCATCATTTTTTATTTTCTATTAGTTTTGTGTCAGCAGAAGTGAAATGAGAAAACATGGTTAATGATGATTTGTGTAACATACAGAGTGCTCTTTCCAATGGTATATTGGAAGTTAAAATTACTCTTGGTTTTTGTACCAAAATATAGTTTTTTCTTAATGAGACTACATAAGTTGGTCGTTCTTACTACCTGACCGCTTTGCAACAATAAAAAATATTTTTTTGAATTGTTTTTTCTGCAAAATTTCTACGCTTGGACATTATTTTGAACAAATAACGCAGAAAGAATTGAGTTCATGCATGATTTATGAAGATTATGGCTGATTTTTTTGCAAAAGTCATAGTTCTTGAAAAAGACTCGATTTTACAAAAAATCTCATGTTTAATACTTTTTCGATTAAAGAGTCAAGAACAAATCTAAAAATTTTATCAATGTTGATATCGATAGAGTTTTTGATGGGCTACATTTTGGTGTATTTTTTCTTCTAGTTTGATACATGGAGCTCAAAATAATTGAGAAATACAAACTTTTCAAGTTGCAAGAACTTTTTTAGAGGTGCTTCGTTTTTGACTTTTCCTCCTTTTCAAATTGGTTCTGGAAAAATATGCCTGGTACAAAATTAGTAGTTCAGACTTTGCTGTTTCCAACAAAAAAAAGTTTGATTGGTTTAAAAGTTGGAAAGACAGTTGAACATTTTTCCAAAGACTTTTGCATCGCATGTTATTATTATTTATTATTCAAGTTTCAATCATTTTGAAACTTTTTACAACACTACTGTATTATACTTTTCTAGAAAAAAAAATGTCTTGTTCAATATGTAAAGACAGAAAACGAACTCACTAAATAAGAAGTGGATTCTAATGAATCGGACTAAATATAAATGCAATTTTTCAACTATTCGTATAAAATATTCATATTTGTAAAGAATCTTTTTTTTTTTAATTTCCAAGCAACCAACATACTGAGGTGCACTTTATGTGCATTCTATCAAATTAAAAAACAAACGAAAAAAAAGTGCAACATTGCTACTGTGAAATTCACAAGGCCTCGAAAACAACGCAAATATTCTCAATTACGTCGTCTATCTTTCAAAATTTTACACAACAACTTCGAAAAAAAAGTCAGGACGCAATAAATGAAAAAAGTCGATTGCAACATAAGACAACTATAACAACAACAACAACAATGGACAAATAGGTAGAAGCGTTTAAAACGAATGCCATTATTAGTCTGAAAAATGTCAGAGTATAAAATATATGTTTACTAACGAAAAGAATTATACCGGTCGAATTTTCTATGCGATGCGAAGCAGAGTGTCAATAATTCTCAGGAAGTGTACCCTTGATACTTTATTTTTATCAGTAAAGTGTATCATAGAGTGTCAATCGAAGATCACAAGGATCATAGAAACTGATGTGTATATGCGTCTTGTCAAAACGAGAGAGAGCGCAAAAAAGTTTCTATTGGTTCAAATAAGCTATTATTGCGTCTGTATCGCTTACCAGAGATGGAAAAAATCGGCTAGCGTCGTTGGTCACGTCTATGCTACATTGGTCAGAGCTTCAAAAAGCGTTTGTTCACAGTATTTTGATGTTCGGTAGACTTTTAGAAACTGATTGGTAAAGCAAAAAGAGACAGGTATGCGTGGTGCATAGGCGGAAGCACCGGCACAGGGTGATTTTTTCCAACTCTGTCGCCTACCACCAATGATGATCACGGAAAATGCGACTTGAGTCTCAAAAATAAATTGTACTAAAATGTCTATCTCTTTTTATTACTTCGAAAAATAAAAATAAGAATCTTCAAAAAAAATGTCCCAACATGTGACCCCCTCCCAAGTGCATGTCTTCCTATCTATTTGATGAACCATTAGAGTTCGACCGTGTAATATAATAGAGTAATAATTAACAGATTCTCCTTGTATTAATTTTTATTATTATTCTAAATCGTCGATTTTTTTTTTGTTTTTCTATTATTATTTGCAATTATTCTAGATTTCATTCTCATCATTTTTTTCACGAGCAATTAAAAGAAAAATTTTTAAATCTTTTTAAAATTTTCAATTTCTTCAAACTCTTTTCAACTTTGTCTTGATATGGAAAAAAATCTATCGTTCTTTCGTCAATATCTCATGAGAAAACATTTGCAACTCTTCAATCACTTTCGGTTTGAAACTATTATCCTTCGATCGGTCATAATAAGTATAGTAAAAAAAGTCTGTTTGGGTCTGGTTTTCTGACTTTCACTCTGGGAAAATATAATTGATGAAAAATTTGGATGATCGAATGCCGAGCTAAATTTTTGTCTGATTTACGCTAGACATGTATGAATAGAAGACATTCATCGTGATCTTTTCAGACACAGATATATCGATACTGCTTCTAACATATGAAAACATTTTTACAGTTTACAAGACACTTCTAAGAAAAGATTATAATAGTATTATAATGTTAAAATATTATTTGAAGAAACTACAAATCTGATTACACCACAAACAACATAGTAAATATCCTCCATATATCGATATATGTATTCATTCATAATGAAAATGAGAAGAATAATTTCTTGCTTATTTATTTTTATGTGTTACGGTGCATAAAATCAATATAATGAATGAACTGTTTTAGTTGTTTTTACTTAGATTTATCTTCTTTTTATTGCTCCCGATTGTGAATATGCACACATATCATCATCACTAATGTTAGAATTGAATTCTGTTTTAGAAATAGAATAATCAAGATAAGAAGGTGAACCATCATTTTCAGAAATGTTTTTTTTTCAATTCATTAGAAACTCTCACATACTCTTTAGATTAGTTTTAGTTGTCGTTTTTTTATCTAAAAAAACCAGAGAAGTATTAAATTTTTCCGTACTTAGAAAGCTCTTAGTGTTGTTCAGACTCAGTATGTTTCCATGGAAGAGAAACCGAGAAATGACCATTATGACTAGAAACAATGGCAGGAATGTTGTAGTCAAAATGCAATAAAGTCTATGAGCCAAACATGAAAAAAAAATATTAATCACTATTGACATTGACTATCTAACGAATCGTCTGAAAGATAAACTCTAGAAGCAGCAAAGGACAGACCTATGAAATTCACAAGGCTTCCTAAAGAACGTACATATTTTCGATAAAATCGTCTATCTTTCAAACTTTAATTCTAAGAGTTGCTCAGTTTTTTCATGAAGTATGATGAAAACATATCCAATTGCAATTTAATAGTCACGTAATCTTCTAGTGGTATCCAAATAAAGATTCTGAAGCTGAAATTTAACTTGAAAGAAAAATAATTTAATTGTTTAAAAAACTACCACATAAAATATTTTCAAAACCCTTGAATATCCCAGAAGTGGATTAATCTAATAGACGAAAAAATTCTCTCTCTTTTGGTATAACAATATATATTTTATATAAACTTAGATAAGAGAAATACTGCATTTACATTTAGTTAAATACATTATGATCCACACGTTACGTTTTTCTCCGTCACTTATTCTTTCAGGAAAAAAAGACCTCGATTATTTTCGTTTCTTTTCTGTTCTATCCAACATCAGCTGTTATAGAAAGAAAAAAAAACGATATTCTTTCATTCTATGCAATCTTGAAAAATAATGTCATCTCATAATCGTTCAAAAGCTTCAAAAAGAAATTCTTCTACTTCACCAAAAACTAGAAAAAGAAATTCAAAAAAAAATTCTGTTCAAATAGAAATAAAACATGAACAAGATTCAAGACCTAGACTTTTTTCATTGAATTCTCCTATTAGATGTGGTACAAGTGGTTACTCTTATAAAAGGTAAGTTAGTATATGAAATTTTTGTTTTAATCTATATTTCAATATATTTAGTTGGCATATGGGTCCAAAATATCAAAATTATTATCCAGATAAAAATGAATTTGAATATTATTGTTGTGTATGTATTATTTGTTTGTTTTTTTGTTTGTAAGCAAGATTCTATTTATTTAAGAATATATTTATATATAGGAATTTGATACTGTCGAAATAAATTCAACATTTTATCGTATTCCACAAGATTCTGCTTTCAATACTTGGGCTATAAGAGTTCCTCGACCGTCTTTTCTTTATACAATTAAAGCGAATAAGTAAGACTTATGTGTACTCGTTGATATATTATTGTTGTTTATTAAGATTTTTTACTCACATGAAAAAATTAAATATTGATGAAGTATGGATTGATCGATGGCAAGTAAGAAATAGATTTTTGTCATTTTGTAATATGTAATTATTACTTTTTAATATAATAGCAATTCTGGAATAAATGTTTATTACTTCAATCACATCTTGGACCTGTTCTTTTTCAATTTCCACCTGGATTTAAAAGAACATTAACAACAATATCACGTTTTCATGATTTAGCAAAAGTTTTACCTCAACATGGAAAATTTGCTTTTGAATTTCGAGATAGTTCATGGTTTTGTGATGAAATTTATCAAATTATGAATAAATACAAGTAAAATAAATATTTCTTAACTCTTTACTTTCGACCATCTTAATGGTCACTCGAGTGATCATTTGTAGAAAGAATTGCAGAAAATAATTTATTTTGTTTTGTTACATCTTCGGTTAAAAAGATGAACTACAAAAATTGGGTTGTTTTTCTATTAATAAACAAGATATATGATAGGAATATATTGTGTGATACATACCGATGATAATGTCTACAAATAGTAACAATACCATTCAAAAATTTCATAAAAACTAGTCAGAGAAGAAATAGTAAAACACGGAATGGCCACGACAAAAATTCTAGATAACTAAATCTTTAGTTTTTCAGCAACTATAGCTTAACTATAAAATTTGCTTACATCATACAATATGATAGAGCTAGTTATTCTCTACAAAGGGAAATGTTTTTGAGTTCTCTGCGATGTTTTTTTTTTGTGAAATTACATAGGATTTACGAAAGATCTCATATTAAAGTCCGTCGGATTCAAGACCAGATCGAAGGGATCTACCTCAAATAGAATTTTTGTCAAGTCGTTCTCTCCCAAATAATCATTAGAGTGACTAAACGAGAGTACGCTTGACCAATCTATCGATATATCGGAGACATGAATATCCGACAGTGCACTTCAAATGTCTCTCGCCATTTCTTTATTTTGACTCGTGTATTTGAATTACATAACATTAATTTAATTCGGCTATATTCTTATATAATAGAGGTCGAGTACTACATATATGAATACTCCTCACTTGTTTAATACGATAAAGTTTTGAATATGAAATATAATAAGACAAACAAATTTCAGTGCTAAGAAAAAAGACAAAATGATATTTTGAGAGTGTGTTGTAGTGCGTTATTGGTCTTCCTTTCAACCACATTTACAATAACACTCATGAAGATAAGGAAAAAAATTGTTGCGAAAGATTCCAATTGTTGTTTCATCAATATCTCTTCTGAAATCACTATTAAAAATAAGGAGTTAATGAATATTTATTTATATTTTATTTTTCGTCTTCTAGTTGGTGTTTATGTGTTATTGATTGTGAAAATTCAAAAAATTGGTGTGGTGATTTACCTAATGGAACACTACCAATTAATATTAATGATCATAAAACTTGTAATTGGGGTGTCTATTATCGTAAGTTTTATACTATGAATGAAACATATCGAAATATTCTATATAATTGAATAGGTTTTCATGGTCCAACAGGTCAATATACGGGTGTTTATGGAGAAAAACGAATGCGTCAAATAGCTGAAAATACAACAAAATATTTTCTCAATAATAAAAATGATAATTCTATTCAACTTTTCTTCTATTTCAATAATACAGATAGTGATTCACCACCAGCTGCTATACAAGATTGTCGATATCTTGTTCAAGCTTTTAAAGATCTTAAAATAATGACTGATTAAACATTTTTTTTTTTGTAATATTTTTGTATATTGTATAAATTAGTTTAGTCTTGAAAAAGAAAAACTATCAGTTATATTGTTGTTTCACGATTCATTTTTATTCATTTACAATTTTCATATAAGAAACTACACTACATAGAGATTTATAATTTCGTTTAACAACGAAAGGATCAGATCTAATAGGAATAAACAAACAAACAAAAACAATAGTAAATAAGTGAGATAAACGAAAATAAAAAAAGAGAATATAGTCTTTTTTTTTTTTTTTTTATAGCACCGGTCTGATAAAAATTCATAATGAGTTTTTATTTCCTATTAATAGTATTCCTTTTGGACCAAATAAACGTTGATAACAATCTATACAAAAGAAAATATACAATTCTTGATTAACAAAAGTTCTATCATTTTACTGTTGTCATAAAGTTCTCCATAATGTTCACAATAACGAGCACCACTTATACTTCCTTTACAATGAGCACAAGTATAACATCGTTTATGAAATGACTACAATGAAAAAAAATCTAATTAAAACAAAATATCTAATTTTTATATGTTACTTTGCCAGCAGCTTTAATTCCTTCAGCTAAATAAACGTTTTTTGAACATCGTGGACAAATATTTCCTGAGATTGATAATGTTTTTAATGATGTTAAATTTGCTAATGAAGAATGTTGTTTTGTTATATAATCAACATATTTCATACTATTAATTTGTGAATTACTATGACGTGAATCATCATCAGATGATGTATGAGATGTTGATGAATCTGTTGATGTCATACGTGGATAATGATGACTATCAACATTTGTTTCTATGTGACTTAAATTTGGACTATTTGGTGGTGTATCGATATTAGTGGATATGGTTGTTCCTAAACCATAACTAACTAAAACAAAAAAAGTACAGATTCAATAAGCTTCAGTTTCTTTTTTTCTTATACTAAATAAATCTTTACTTGCTCGTGGACCAAATTGACGACGATAACAAGATATACAATAAATCTTTTTATCATGTCCATTTAGATTACTTGAATTAAGTAATGTGTTGCATAAAGCTAAAGAAAAACAAAATGTTAAATAAAATTTGAATAATAAGAAAAAAAAAATTTTTTACTGCATTTAAGACACAATTGGTGAAACTTTTGTCCAGCACCAATAACTTCTTCAGCTGGAAAAACAGTTTTATTACAAAATCCACATAATGGTGCTGAAACTGTTGATCGCCATTGAATTGTTTTATAACCAGTTTTAAGATCCCAATTTTGCCATTGAAATCCACCTTTATTCGATCCCTTCATCTACAATATAACAAATGAAATTGTCTAAAATCAATAGAAAAAACAAACATCACTGCTACGTATCAGATCACTCAATTTATGATAAAGGAAAAAACAAAAGAACGTATACATATATATGTACTTATCGACTGACCGTCATGTTTAATGTAATCAGCGAGAAGAAAAAATGTAATCGATGGACAAGAAATATCCTTCGGATTTCTTTTCTTTTTCTCGCTAAATATCGTTTCTGTCCTTCGTTCCTAGGCGAACATACAAAAGAAAAAAGAACGAACAAAAAAGTTAATATTTAATTGTAATCAATAAACCTTTATGAATACGATCACATTTTATTCAATAATGAACAGAAAGAAGAAGAAAAAAAACCCGATCTACAGTTGATCATCTTTCTCTGGTGTAAATATCCTGAAACATCTTCATTGTATTTAATTAATACTATTTTTCAGTACTTATTTTGTCACTTACTTTCGATAATGATATTGACAATTGATATAAATTTTCCAATAACTGGAAAAAAACATGTACATTGACTTTCTTAAACTATTCCTAATTCAGTCAAGATATGAATGATCTAACTAAGAGAAGAAAAATTTTTTAAATAATCAGTACAGAAGAAAAAGAAATCAATAAACATCTAATGTTATTTTTTAATTTACATATGAAAAAAAAAAATTAATGATATATAATCAACATTCTTCTTTTTTTGCAAGTGTAATATAATCTCTTTCTTTGAAAATAAATAAATAATATACTTGAAAAAAATGTACATGCCAAAATGAATAAAAGTATACTTGTCTTTATATTCGAAACAAAGAGAAAAGAAAAGAAAAGAAAAGAAAAGAATGAATAAATATCTTAAAATGATGTATTGGATAAAAAAAAAAATTTTCATCATTGATAACTAAAATAAATGTTCAACAAGATCAATTTTACAATTAAAATACAATGAATGACAGCTTGTTTCTTTATATATACTTTTTCAAATAAGAATTTTGATTGACTAGAGATAACAAAAGATAAAAATAAATGTGGTTATATAAGACACAAGTCCACACTCGTAGACAAACGTCTGTCAATAATGTTTCTATTCACGTCTTTAATTGTTATATTTGGACTTATTGGAGCCGATGACCCATTACGTCCACAATATCATTTGATGCCTGTTAAAAATTGGCTCAATGATCCAAATGGGCCTGTATACTATAATGGTTATTATCACATGTTTTTTCAATATAATCCAAATGCTGCTATATGGGGAGATATGCATTGGGTAAGATGAAATGAATCTACTTAATAATCTTCTGTCTAGATTTTTTTTTTTTTTTCATAAAAGGGTCATTCCTATAGTAAAGATATGATCCATTGGATTCATTTACCTATAGCACTTGCACCTGATCAATCATATGATATAAATGGAATATTTACAGGAAGTACAACTATTGTTGATGGTACTCCAATAATTATTTATACAGGCATAACAAATGAAAATAGACAAGTACAATGTCAAGCAAAACCAGCTAATATATCTGATCCAACGTTAACAAACTGGACAAAATCTACGTTAAATCCTTTGATTACATATCCAAATGGACGTGATCCATCAACAGCATTTCAAGATATTGAAAATAATTATTATTTAATATATGGTTATGGTACAGAAGAATTAGGTGGTCAAGCTGTATTATTTACTTCAAAGAATTTTTTAAATTGGACATATTTACATCCAATACATAGTAATCAATATGATAAATTTTGGGAATGTCCAGATATATTTAATATAACAAATCGAATTGTTTTAAAAGCATCTTTACTTGGACATGATTTTTGGACAATAGGAGATATTGATCCATATAAATTAATTTTTACACCATTTAATCATGATCTTGGTGAATTTATACAATTAATTGATCATGGAAAATTTTATGCATCAAAAACATTTTATGATCCAATTAATGATCAACAAATAATTATGGGTTGGACATCAGAAGATGATAATTTAGGTCCACAACGGGGTTGGCAAGGTTTTCATACACTTCCACGAACAATATTTTTATCTGACGATGGACTTGAATTACGTTTACGTCCAATTGAAACATTAAAAACTTTACGTGATTCTCAAAGTCATCGAAATTTTAATAATATTATTTTACCTTCAGAACTTCCATTTGAACTTATACCTGATATAAATGGAAATCAAATTGAAATTCAAATTAATTGGCAATTTCCAATGAAACAAGTAAAAATTAAATTATTTCTTCTAGTTTTTATATAATTATTTTTCTTTTTTAAATAGAATTTAGATTTTGGATTAATTGTTTTATCAACACCGGATGGTATTCAACGAACAAGTATTGGTATTGCTTCAAGAGATAATACAAGTGTTATGACTAATTGGGATCTACCTGGATGGGATTATTTTAGTGTACCAAATATTTTACAATCGTCTGATTGTCAAATAGCTTGTAATAAAGACAAAAGATGTCAAGCATGGACTTTTGTTAAAGATCGACAAATAAATAATAATTGTTTTTTGAAATCTGGTGTTCCACTTTTAGCATCAAATTCAGCTTGTATATCAGGTGTAAAACAAAAAGAAAATAATGAACAAATTATATGGGTTTATATCAATAGAGCATTATCACAAAAGAATCCGGAAGCTGCACATGAACCACTTCATGCACCTTTATGGTTGGAAACAACATCGATTAATAATCAATGGTTTCTTGAATTAGATATTTTTATTGATCATTCAGTTATCGAAATATTTGAACCACAAGGTGGTCGATTTGCATTAACAGGCCGTGTTTATCCAGAAGAAGAAAATGCAAATAATTTAGCTGTTTATGTTAATAATGCTCCGAATAATGATGAAAATATAATCATTAATACAATTGATATTTGGAAATTGAATTCAATATGAACTTGAAGGAAAAAATAAAATTTTTTTTTATAATTTCCTTTTTTTACATAGTGATATTAATTCAAAATGAGTACTATTAACTTCTAATTGATATTCAATATCAGTGCATTCAAATATATTAGACATGAAAATAGCTTTTCGAAATATAGAATAAATTAATAATTATGAATTCATTTTTTTTTTTATTATAGCTTCGCTTGTGAGTTATAAAATATTGAATAAATGACATTATTATGAGCAGTGAAACATTAGGCGCTTGTTAACACTCACTGCTCCCCGCCCCTCCCCTCCCTCCGTCCGCTCTCCCCAATATCAAAGACCGTGCATCAAATAACGTCTGGTTATATTAATCGATCAAGTACTTTCTTGTTGTAATTGTAGAGAATTAAGAAAAGGATGACAAAGAAATATATATTTGCTTACAATACCATATATGATACAATCCAAAAATTGTTATAGATACATTTGAAAAAAGACAATAGGTAATGATATGAAAATGATGGTAGACTTGCAAAAATCGATCATGATTTAGATCGAGTAATTTCAAAACGAACCATTTGTAACTAAAAGTAATCAACAACACTGGCTTTATCAATTGATTTCATCATTTCGATCAATCACATACAGTTCGAACGAAAACGGAAGTCTCAAAGGTGAAATGGCGTCTATTTATCAAGAAATAGGTGTCAACAAGAAAATTACCTATTGAAACAAGACATATGCCACTGCTATGACATGAATATTTTAGATAGTTCCCATAATATAGGTCAAAGACCCAGGCGTGATTGATCTGCGCAAAAAAACAGAGCAAGCTAATTTTGCAAACCACATATAAGCAGAACCGTTTTGAAAGTTTACACGTGTTACCTCAGTGAAATAATAATGTACAAATCATTTTCGTATATTCATGTCGAAGAAACATTAGTCGACAGCAAAAGGAATGTTGATAGATAAGATACCATGTTCTGTCAAAAAAAAGTAATTGAAAAAGAAAAAAATTTGCATAAAATGTAATTATTGAAGAGTCACCTGTTACATGTTGTTGTACATTTTGATCCCACAGAGATTGCGCTAATAGTTTTATTAACTGAAAATGGTTTTTTCAATTGTTGTTGAAGAACATAAATTAAATCTACCAAGTATCTACCAATTTTATCTCAATTTTCCATTCGATTAAATCGTTCGAATGCCGATAATTTAAATTTGTATTATTCAATAAAATCTATATGCTAAAAAATATCAGATAGAAAACGCTTAAAAGAAGAAATATTGGAAAAACAAACTGCAAAAATGTCAACGAACATCATCCTTGATGCTGAACTTGTTATATTTAATTCATTGAAAACACTACGATCCTAATGCACATAGTTTTTGCTTTTCTAAACTAATTGAAAATGAGTTTAATAATATAGATCAGAGTTAAAAATTCAGCTTAAGAATAATATTATATTTCTAAAAAGTATTAAAAAGAAAAAAAAAGATTTCAACTATTTAGCACATTTTGATGAAAGATTTTTAGATGAGTCAAGGAGTCTAATATATTTTTTATTATACAACTTTAATAATTCGGTTTTTTTTTTTTTGTTTTATTTAAACTAAACTAAAGTTTTATAAACAATTTTGTGGTATCTGATGTTGCATATGGCATTTAATATTACCAAAAACTTAAAATTATTTTATATTTATGTAAACACATAATAAGTTTGTTTTTTTGTACTAATATGAAATTTATTTTTTCATGCATATAAACAAAAAAGGAATGTGACGTCAATCGATTGACTATAACAGGTAAGGAAAAAGCACGTATACATACATATATATATATATTAAAGGCAATATAAACAACCATTTTTCACCTTTCATCAATGAATGCAAAAACCTTGCTTATTCAAGCACAAGGTGCATCTGCGCATGTTTTTATTCGATATTTTGGAGCATATCCTACAGTATGACGGCGTATTTTATAAACAAAAAGTGACTATGCATGAAAAGTATCGACATCTTATTTTTTTTCTTTCACGTATGAAATAGATGACGATCAGTCTCTTAATATTTGAACTATTTTATGCTTTAGATATATAATACTGATTATATCATTATTATTTATATCATGGCTCATAATAATTTGCCGAATGGTATGAATAATAACCGTCGATTACCATCAATGGCTATGCCAACAAACAATCAAATAGCCCAGGATAATGCATATGAGTTTGAACTCATGAAATTAATGGAACAAGAACGTCAATTACTTGCTGCTCGAGTAATTATTATATCATATACTAATATTTATTTATATAAATAATCTTCTGAATCTTTAGCAACAAGTACAAAGGGAAAATATGATGGCTAAACAACAACAACAACAACAACAACAGCAACATCAATATTTTCCATATGGCAATGAAATGTATTCAGATTCACAATCTCAATCCATTTCTCAAGTTAATCGACATGTTTTACCAGTTATGAAACCATTACGAATTATTATTATTCGTCATGCAGAACGAGCTGATGCTGCTTTAGGATCAGATTGGTCAAAGAAAAGTTTTGATCGAAGTGGTCGTTATATACGATTTAGTGAACATTTACCTGATGCGTATGATTTTTCTTTAAACAGATAATTGTTTTTTTCGTTTTGAAAACACATTAGATTTGCTATAGATTACCAACTCGTTCTTATTTACATCATTATGTAATTGATGTACCATTGACAAATCGTGGTCGTATGCATGCTTTTAAAACAGGTAAAGCATTATTATTCAACGGATATGCAGCAGATATTTGTTATACAAGTCCATCGTTACGATGTGTTCAAAGTGCTGATGGTATTTTAAATGGTATGGGTCGAAAAAATATACCAATGCAATTAGTAAGTTATAGTTATTTTAATTCTATAAACTATTTTAATTATGAAATAGGAACCGGGATTATTTGAATGTTATTTAAATGATTTTAAACGTACATTATGTTTTATGACTAAAGATGAATTAGCTGCTAATGGTTATAATATTGATAAATCTTATCAATCATTAATGCCATTTATGCGTCCGCATGATAGTCAACTTGACTATTATGAACGATGTCGTGCAATTATGGATATTATAACTGAACGACATCACGCTACTGGTGGAACTATTTTGATTGTAGCACGTAAGTTTAATTATATTTTTCAAAAATCTTCTATATGAATTTCCTTTTATTTTTTAGATGCTCCAAGTCTTGAAGGTCTTACAAGACATTTATCAGGTGGTAAACTTCAGCCAGGTTTGTTGTTTTATTTTTTCGAAAATTTTTTTATATATTGTTTTAATTCGAAGAAAAATTATTTGATATTGCTCGTCGAGTACCATTTCTAGCAATGACAATAGTAGAAAAGAATAGTATAGAGAGTCCATGGCTCTTTCGTACACAACCACTTCAAACAGGTACAACAATATCAATGCGTGAAGTTGCACTAGAACTAGCTCCACCACCCACACCAGTGCCTGCAGTTATTCCTCATCATCAAATATCTCAACAAAAACAACAACAGCAACAACAACAACCAAGGCAACAACAACAACAACCACCACCACCACCACCATCAATACAAATAATTGCAGCACAACCTCAACAAGAACAAGAACAACAACGTCTTCAACAAAATCAAAATCTACGAATTCGAGTACCAATAGGTCCATTACCAGTTGATCCGAAAAAAGTAGCCAAAAGTTCAACAGCTCCGAATTTACCAACAAGCAATTCGTTAAGTGAAATGTTTCGAGTTATTTAATTGGCATAACGTCACATTTCAAGAAACGCTTTTTTGTTTTGTTGTCTATATGGATATTCGAAAATAAATTTTACATATTTATTTCGAGATGACTTTAGAAAAAAAAAGATCGATTTAAATATTAGTTGAAAATAAAAAACTTTTGAAAACTCAACTTCTGATATGCATGACCAATGTCTATTCTTATTCTAGTGTCTACAGATACGTTTCAATAGAACCAAAAGCTACAATAACACTACAAACGAACAAATAAATCAGATCATATAGGCATATTTTAGACGAATGATACTAATGACAATGATTATTTTTTGTGCTAATGATTCATTAGTATCTCGCTTACATCAGCAGTGGGTATGAGTGTGGATGTGAGTATATAGCTGCAGTTAAAGAGATGACTGTAACATCCAAGCTTGTCTTTTCATATCTGAATCCAATATTTGATACGAAAGGATACTACCACAAAATATTAATTAATAGTCATCAGTAATCCAAAATTATTAAAAATCTAAATCAAGATTGTTAAAGAAGTGGCAAGTCAAGTTGCTAAATTCAAACATAAATAGTTTTGTAGTATTAGAATATATTTATGATTATTGTTATTTATTTGAGTATTTATATGAAAGGCTCTTCACACGACAATTATTATAAATGTTAGAAGAGCATAAAGAAATAAAATCTGAAAATTATTCATTATAAGTTCTTTCCCGCATACTATATGACCAGGACATAACAAAAATCACAGCTCAAATAATACATTTGTAATGTTGTTAAGAATTACTAAAATTTTAACAACATCCCATCCATCGTGGCATGACTATTGCACATTGTGAGTGCAAATTTCATTAATATAAATAAAACTATGATCGAAAAGCGAATAAGTATGTGTTTGAAACCAAAAATTAGGATTATTTTAATATTAGTCTTCAATAGTTATTTGATTCGAATGATTCAAACAACCATATGATTCATCGTGAGAGAAGTGATCAATGACACAGTTAAGCTTCATCATGATAACAACGATTCATTGAGATAACATTCATTTGTCTCCAATTATTCGATACAATATTTTTTGTCTTTTTTGTTACAATAATCGCATTTTTAATCATATATATCGCGCTAATCAAGATTCATAAGCAATAAATCTTTATTGCAATGCAACTATATCAATGAGTGCTGTTCGTACGATTAACTATGCACTAGAAACATTCAACTTATTGTATATGATAAAATATAGCGATGTCATTTTTATAGGTCATAAGCAGTAATTAATCATATAGCGAATAGATAAACGTAGTTATAATTGTCGACCGATTGAATGACACAGCAACTAATTATACTGATCATGATTATGAGTCTTATATATATGGAACTGAAATGATGTCATGAGTTCATATAGAATGAGTAATAGCAAGATTAATAATCGTTTCATTTTTTCAAATGATAGTAAGACAAGTCAATAATTTCGGCAAACCTTCGCTGGAGAGACGCCGTTTTCTGCTAGAAAAATCCATCGAATGGTAAGAACTCGAAAGCAGGAATTTGGTGATCAGGTTTTCCTAGTTTCGAGCAGAGCTGGCTACTGAACTCGATCATCGAATTTCTACTTCCAAGCTTCTACCAATTTTTTGACTTAAACCAGTACTTATTTCGCGACCTGACAAAATTCAAAATGAATGGTTCTTCTCATATAATCGAGCTGCGTGCTGTATAACAAAAAGTAAAATGATACTATTAAATATATTCAACATATTGAAGGATTAGAAAGACTTATCAACGATTATGATTTGGTTTTTCATTGGTAGTCACTATAGAAAAAGAAAGATCCGATGTCAATCTTTCATTGAAAAATATATTTCGTATCGTTATAAAATAAAAATTATGAAAGAGAAAATGAATTTGAAGAACAACTCAATTTATATATATGGAATTCGATGGTAAAAAGCAATATCAATTGTTTGAACTCTTAAACAAAGTTTTAATATCATATTTACTCTTCATTTACAAATTATTTTCATTTAATATGTTTTGTTTTCTATGTTATATATACATGATTACTTATAATTGTATGTAATAAATCCTGTAAGAACAACTTATTGCAATTTTCGTTTTCTTAGTGCTTTCAAAATTCGTATTCGAAAACAACTGAACAGTTAACTTGAGGAATGAAAGACTAATACATCAACAACATCGATGAAGAAACGAAAATATTTAATAGAAGACAATAATAATAATAATAATAATTCTATATTGTGAGATAATCTGAATAATACTTTGTTCGAAGATGATAATAATCACAAAGAACATAATAGTTATGATAATTGAATTACGATTTAATGGCTAATCAATAAACTTGTTTTATTTTTGTTTGATAGACTTTTATTATGTTTCTATTAATTATCAAATAATTCAAAAGTCTTTAGAAGTCTATCGAAATTCAAATGTAATATTCGTGTAAGTTGCTTTATGTGTAGCAATACACTATCTAACAGATGTAAGTTACAAATTAAAATCTTATTTTATACATACATCCGTTATTTTCAAAATGGATAACATTCTGTGAAATTGATTTTCAACACTACAAGAAAAGGATCATGTTGTAAGGTAAACGATCAATTGACTTTTGGTATTTCACCAATTGAAGATAATTCTATTCATTTACGAAAAATATTTTTTACATGTTGCAAATCGACAAGAATCAGACGAAATATGGAGCATAAACCAAAACGGTAAGTATTCACAAAGAATTATGTGTGTATTTATGTGCAACTAAAAATGATCTTACATCTTCAATTACATTTAAACTCAATGAAACATTATCATATGAAAATTATATTGAAGTTGTTGTTCTTTCATATTCTCAGTTCGAAGGTCAACGGTTCCTCGGTGACAATCTCATTTATCAATATAACAAAATCACATCACAAATCATTGGTACAGTTTGAGAAAACAAACTTGTAAAATGAGCTTGACCATTCGTGAATGATTGTTCTTGAATTCTTATATCACTGTGCAGAAAACAATCTTGTCTTTAATACTATACAAGAGAAAAGCCAATTTTCTCTGTCGAAACTTAATTTTCATATCACTAAAATTTCGACTCATAACTCATAAACCAGAAGTTCGACAAATTTGAAAAGAACACAAATATTCTGATACTTTTAAATTTCTAGTCTCTTTTCATAGATGAAAAAATAAATATAAATTTTGTTAAATTACTTTTCAATAACATATTATTTCCTATAAAAGATCAAAACAGAACTAATTTTATATCATACAAATTGTGAAATTTGACGTATCTACCATTGATATAATAATAATAATAATAATAATAGAACCTTGAGTTGAATAACGAATAATTTCAACGATAGTTATCCGGTGACAGTACTTGAAACAATAAAAACTATCCATGTAAATCATTTATTCAAGGTCAAGTTGACAGAAAATATAAATTACAGATGTATCTATTCAGTAAAATATGCATATGTTTGACATAACTGTGTTAAGCAGTTCAATAGAAAAATAATATTTCAAATATTCTTTTTTTCTGATTTAAGATCAAAACATCTATGCGTTTGTAAATCATGATTCTTATTAAATATTGGTTGATGATATATTTATATGATATTTGAAAAGAAATTCTACTGATATACGATAATAAAAATCATGAATAAATATAATATTTCAATGAAATGACTTCCATCATTTAGATTATAATAATAAACATATATATTTTATTCTAATTTGAATAACAATAATCAAATATAAATAAGATTTAGTCAATAAAAAACAAAAAAAGTTTATGTTTTATTAAGGAAAAAAAAATCACTGATGTCGACATGACAACTTGTCACACGATTGCTTTATTGATTGGTTGATTGTAGAGACATATCAGTGGATGTTAGTCCTCTGTGTGTTTATTGATTGGTCTGAGAATATTCTGTTTATTTTTTTGTTTTTCTTTCTACATTGAAATGTTGCGCATTGATGATTTTTTTTTTGTTCTATCGTCGAATTTTTTTTTCTTAATAAAACCTCAATCAAAGATTCAGAAAGTGTTTTTTATTACAAAGTATAAATATTGTTCACCAAGAAAAAAAAAAAAGATTTTTATATAACTATGGCTTGTAAAGTTATTGAGAAAGGAAGAAGAAAAAAAAAAGAAACGTCTAACGCACATTTAAGTTGCGTGTAAGCAATCAAGCATTTGGTTTGCTTCTGAAAGATTTTTTTTCTTTTACTCTCCGTTTTCTTTTTTCATCGTATTTTTTTCTTATTGCTTGCCATAGTTGTACTGCATAGAGGTGCGACAATCAGAACGAATTGTATGCAGTAATGCATACAGGTTGAAGGAGAATAGTAAAGGACGAAATAGCTTGATTTTTTTTTCGAACAATACTTCTATTTTAACTGACTAGGATTTCAATTTTATGAGTTGTAAAATATAATTTTTTTTTAATAACTCTATTAATTTAATTGTTTTTTTTTTGTTCAGATAAAAATAATTATGAGGATGGCTATAAGAAGCTCGACCGTCTTTTTCCTAGTACTATTATCATCATCGATTAATGCATTTTATCTACCAGGTTTGGCACCAAATGTATTCTGTCGAAATCCTATACCAGATTCAAAATGCAAAGTTAGTTAAAATAATATAACTATTAATTTATTATGAAAATAATTCTTTAGACAAAAGTTGAAGTATTTGTCAATCGTCTTGATTCAGTTGAATCTGTATTACCTTATGAATATCCATAGTGAGTTTGAATGAATTATAAAATAAAATTTTTGTTATAAAATTATATATTTATTAAATGTAGTTTTGATTTTTGTTCTGTTACTGATGAACCATCACCGGTAGAAAATCTTGGTCAAGTTTTATTTGGTGAACGAATTCGTCCATCACCTTATAAAGTTGATATTCACTAGAACTTGTTTTTATTTATTTTGAAAAATATTCTATTCTAGTTTGATTTTCTCAAAAATGACGATTGTCATTTTGTATGTCGAAAGAAATATGAAGCAGGTGATGCTCAAAAACAAAAATTGCTTAAACGTTTAATGAAAGGAATGGTTTTAAACTATCAACAACATTGGATTATTGACAATATGCCTGTAACATTATGTTATAAAAATACGGAAAATCAAGAATTTTGTGCACGTGGTTTTCCTATTGGTTGTTATGTTACAAAAAGTGGTCAATCAAAAGAAACATGTAATATTCGTGATGGAAAAAATGATACATTTTATGTATTTAATCATTTGGATTTTGAAATAATTTATCATAGTGGACAAGGTAAATATTAAACAAAAAAGAAAAAAATTTACATATTAATCTAAATTATTTCATATTTTAAGATGAAACATGGGGAACTGCATTTGGTGAAAATGGTGGTCGTATTATTGCAGCAAAAGTACAAGTTAATAGGTCTAATAAATTAGATAATCATTGTATTTATTTTTAAAAATTTTCTTTTTTTTTCATTAGTTTAAATTCAGATAAATGTGAACGTGGTAGTGAACCACTTATGTTTCAATCAACAGCAAAAGATGTTGAAATATCATTTACATATAGTGTTAAATTTGTAAAAAATAATGATATACGTTGGGCTAGTCGATGGGATTATATATTGAAATCATTACCACAAACACGTATACAATGGTTTTCAATTTTAAATTCATTAGTTATTGTTTTATTTCTTTCTGGTATGGTTGCTATGATTTTATTACGTACATTACATAAAGATATTGCTCGATATAATCAAATGGTTGATGCAGTAAGTCGAACAAAATTAAAAAGAATAATTATAAAATGTTCTATTCTTTTATTTAGGATGATGCACAAGAAGAATTCGGTTGGAAATTGTAAGAATTTATTTGCTTTATTCTGTTCTTTCTTCTTTTTTAATAGCTTGACTATGTACTAATATTTAAACAGACGATCCTGAACAACTAAAATGAAAAATAAAATACGTTTTTCAATATTCTGAATAATGAGAGTTTTGATTTTTGTGTAGATAAACGAGTATAGGATAGATATCAAGGATAATATTTTGATTTACCACAGCTGTCATATGAGCAATACATAATCATGATGGAATTCAGTTCTATCTTTCAGGAATAATCAATATCAATCTTTAGAAGTTTATCGAGATATATTTAGAGATCGTTAGAACGTATTGTTTGCTGATAATTGATTATCATAGGAAAAGAACTATAGATGCTTAGGGATTTTTACATTTTATATTAGTATAATGAAACTAAATAAGACATGTGAGTTTCACATTTAAACCTCAAAGAGACTACACTACTGATAAGCTATTTTATATGCATTCGAGAAGTTATTGTATAAAATCATCAAACCTTATTTTTTAGGTCATTTTGATGCTTTATAGTAAAATAAGTCTTGATCGACTGTATAGTACTACCTAGTAATTATTAAGAAAAATAATGATTAGTTGTCTCGAAAATTTCTTCAAGGATTATACATCTACAAGTCAGAGAATTTTTTTATGCAATATGTCAAAAGATACATCATTAACAGTTGAAAAAAACATGAGCTATTTTATATCATTTATTCATTGAGCTAATATGAGTAAAAGAAATTACATGTTCATTCTGGCTAGAATTTTATACATAGTTCTTTCGAAAAACGAAAAAGAAATGTTTTTTTTTTTTTACGAAATTGGATAATAGTCATACATATCGATAAAGTATGAAATGTTGAACACGGTCATATGATTGATGTTCATTGTTAAGGGTAAGTTAGTTGTGCAGAGTTGACCTCTTGATGTGACGCAATTGTCATGAACCTTTTCATTCTTTATTAAAAGGATGTCCTACATATTATTAGATAATGGTTGATAATAAACTTCGATCATATGACTGTGATCAACATTCCATGTTTTATCAACATGAATAACTATTACCTAATTTCGTTAAAAAGAAAAAAAACTGTCTACATAATTTTAATCAGCATGAAGTCCTAATTACTTCGAGATTGTTATCTATAAAGTTGTTTATCTGTCTATTGAAAGAGTAGACTCTATATTACCCTGAAGGTAAATTTTTTTTCTCGATATGTTTTTATTATGTCGTAGATAGTCAAAAATTGTATAGCATGTCAAAAGATCAGCTTGGTTTCGCTTGATTTCGAAAGATACTCGTAGATGCACTGTCAACAAACGGCTATTATAGCTTAATAAATTGTGGCGTTTTCCACTAATGACTGGCTCAACAAATAAACTATGTATAATATTTTAAATATCTCATTTTCTTTTTCAACTATTGATAGTGATAAAAAGTTTGACAAGTGATTTGATTCTTTCGGTGCCCTTATGAGTGCTCTTTTAAGTAACAAATAGTTTTTAATATTCATTGATAAGCTATTAAAAGTGATTCATATCATTTGAATTGATTTTATAATTTCAAAATAAGACTTTTCAATTTTATAGATCTACCTTGAAAGTGTTTCTGAGGAGTTAAAAGTTATGGATTATAAAGAGAATTGTATGTTCTTTCCGTATGTTATTGTTGACTTACTAGGGAACCTTCCAAGGTGCGGGAGCGCTTTTCAATCGGGGTTTCGCGCATCTTGTAGCCCATAGTGTGCTATGTCTATGGTAAAAAAAAGTTCGGGTTTCTGGCTTGTTTCTGAGGAGATATCGAGCTCTTAGTGAATTTTCTCTATAGTACGCCTACATTGGCAGCAAAGCTATACTTTCGAATTTTGACCTGAAACTTTGC